TGCCTCTAGAATCGAGGGGTATCATAGGGTTTTTCATCATTTTTAGGTAGGGGTTCCTAATTCACAAGACTTCTTGCTCCTTTGTAAATTTCTCTTCCTGATTTGTTGTCTAGCATGCTAATTTATGTTGAATTTCCTCTAAAATGATTAAATTGTTGTAATTAAAGTATGTGGCTATGTGTGTAGTTGAAATTACATGATGTTGCATGCTTGTAAGAAGTTAATTTCATGTTTATATGCTTGTTATGCTAAATTCTTGTTAATGAAAGCATGTTGTAAATTCTTTTAAAAATTTTGCAAGTATGCTAAGTGATTTAGACTTGAATTAAATGTATGACAAGGAGTATTGGCATAGCATGAAATGGCATAATGCATTCATGCATAAGCATTGGGAAGGAAATGGGAAATTGGTTTTGAAAGAAATAAAAGAAAATAATTTTAGGAAAAGGTTTTGATGAAAAGTTTACGAAAACCCGGTCGACTAGGAATTACCTATGGGTCCGTGACGTTAATGTGACCTAGAGGGAATTAGGGAGATTGCCCTAGCGTGGTTGAGTTAACTAGGCCCCAAATGACTCCCTGGAATTGCCTTGTAGTCAGGAACAATTAGCCAATCCTTCTCTCATGCTGCCATGGAGCTACCATGGGTCGGGTTGTATTAATAGTTTGGAAATGATTTTGGAAATGGGGAGCGACATTGCATGACATTGCATCCATTTCACGGCATATTCATTCATAATTTAGGTTGTTGATAATGTTATTGTGGTTATTTTCTCCCCAGCATGGTATGATCCCAATTTCTGTATTTTTATTCATTGTATGGATTCACGGGGTCTCAAGATGTGTGTCTTAGGCACCTCCTATTGAGCTTATGCTCACCCCTTACTTTCAATATTTTTCAGGTCACGGAAAGAAGGTGGCGGATGATAATCCACCACAATCATGAAGAGAAAAGAAGCGTGTGTTTAGTAACCATTTTTGTATAACATCATTTAAGAATGTATTAATTTGCTTAGCATGATCTTCTACTAAAACTTTAAGTTTGACTCTAATATGTTGTAAATTTAACTAATTGTAAAGAACCTATTTGAATGAGAAGAATGAAGTTATAATATGGCATAAAGTTGATGTTTCAAATCATAGAATGTAGAAATCCATTTTTAAAGTTTTATTAGAGCATTTTTAGATCAATTTTGCAGTTCCCTATTAAAGTTTCATCATTTCTTTTCATTTTTAGCAATCTAGTAGTAGGTCCAGGGCTCGCATAGCCATTTCAATCGACCGAAATGAGTACTTCGGTCGACCGATTCTTTTGTTAGCCTCGGGACTTTGGTTTTCGTTCACAACCGGCTAACCGAAATGGCTATTTTGATCGACCAGTACAAGGGCCATTTTAGAGGCCATTTCGGCCGATCAAAGCTCCATTTCGGTCGACCGAAATGGAGTTGCTTTGTGCTTCTTGTTCCTTCCTTAGTGAAATTACTCCTTTAGCCATGGAAAGTTCTCAAAGCCTTCTTGAACTATAATTAGGACGAAAAGGTGATGTATGGACACTAGCCATGTATGTGATTGACTTAGGTGACCTCGGGTTTGGTTAAGGACCGGTTAACGGTTCGAACCCATGGGTTCGAGTCGTTACAGAAGCAAAGTATACCGAACTTTGACTCAGTCTCACACCCTATCATTCTACCAAAAACCAATCGCTGACAATCCCTGGCTTTGCGACTCCCCTGTTTAACAACTCTCGATCTCAAACTTACTCTTGATCTCTATAGAAGAGTTGCAGGTAGATCAAACAACACTCCATGAATGCTTTGACCCCCTTTTCACCCCCTTTCTTCTAGATCTAAATTTGACAAAGAACGAATGAATTCTGCTTTTCCAGAATTTCTGAATCTTTAATTATGCTCCAATTCCGATAAGATAGAGAACAACACTACTAAATCATTCGTGTGTTTATATGTGTGCTCTCAAAAATAAAATCAGAAAAATTAGATTGATTTCTGAATAAAAATATCTCTCAAAGATGGCTCTCTAATAGATCTGAATTTTGTATGCAAAAGCCGTTTTTAAACCTAGATGACTATCATAGTTTATATACAATTTAGAATTTCTTAATCCCTCTGAAAATATGGAAAATTTCATGCATATGACTTGGTACAGTTTTAAACCAACTAGGAAAGAAATATGAAACAGGAAACTGAAGTTGGACTATGAACAGGACTTCTTAAATCGGTTCAATGGGGCTGAACCGGTTCAAGGTAGGCAGAACTTAATTTCGAACCCAACCTTGAAGCCTTGAACCGGTTCAATGGGGCTGAACTAGTTCAAGTCTAGCAGACTTGATTTTTTGGTTCGCTCAGCCTGAAAACACTGTATTTGGTAATTTTGAAATCAATACCAAGTGTAGAATGTATCCTAACCTTTTTAGATTCTTTCCTAAAGTGTTGTTCTTGCCTTTCTCGAATGATCTCAGTCATGGTAATTTTGAACACCTTCTAATTCCACAGTCGATGTCGATTCCAATATAGTAACTTGAAATTACAACTCGATTAGGACTTATTTTGACACCAAAAGTTGCCAATTACAAAATATATATTTTTCACAGTATCCCTAAAATATATATGTCTCACAATCTCCCCCTTTGGCAATTTCATGACAAAACCCTAAAAACATGTAATCTACCAAAATAGAAAAAGCAAATTACAATGATTGTCAAAGAAATAAAATGTGGAATCTTCTTGAACCTCATGAAGCTTCAACACATTACCAACTTGTAATCTGCACATTAGCTCAACAAAACTACCTGTGAAACTTAATCAAGAAAGATAAACCATCAATATATATCAATATGTTATCAATATATATATATATATATATATATATATATCTCCCCCTCAATTATAGAAACTTTCCCCCTCAAATACGCACACTTCTCCCCCTTTTTGTTACAAATTGACAAATAAAGCTTAACAAAGAAGAAAAAAAAAATAATGTGGAAAAATTAACATGAAAAGGGATCAAAACTATCATCCATGTATAAGATATTGCAATAAGCACAAAAATATGATGATATATAGTAGCAATAGAACCAAAGACAAGTATCCAAGATAACACATGTTCCATCCAATCATGCTCAAAATCACACATATGATATCTCCATCCAATCAAAAATGAAAATTCCTAATAAAAATAAAAGGAAAATCTTTTTGGATTTTTTTTATTTTTCAATTTTTCTTTTATTTTTCTGATATTTTAACAAAAATAATGAGATAGCAATTTCCATGAATTTCAAGTATACAAGATATCCAAAAATTTCTGAATAATTTTAAAAAATTTAAAAACACGAAATTTTTTAGACACCATAAATTATTCAATCAAATCAATTCTCAAGCATGCAATCACAACATGAAATTCAACTTGCAATTTTTATGAAGATTTAGAAATTTTCCTAGCAAGTTCATATGTGTGTGCGCGCAATCCAATCTCATCAAATTTCAATCAAATCACATTGACCAACTGTCTAAATCATATTGATCGAAAAGCATCAAGATAAAAATGTTTTGAGCAAATTTTACTAAGCGAAGCGACTTTCACTCTAAAAAGTAGACAGCAATTCCCTATTTTGACTTGTCTCCTCCTTTCTTTTTACTCAATTAGCTCTTCTTCAAAGTCTAGTAGGAGCTTTCGAACTAGTCTCAATAGGTAGCCTTTTCTTTAGCAAAGATTTTCAGCATTCTTTTGATTTTTTTCTTTTCTTTTAATGCTAAAATTTCATTATTTTTTTTTCATAAAATTTCATCATTTTTTTTTAAACACATGCTCTATTTAAAAAAAAAAAAAAAAAAAAAAAAAAAAACAGCAACAACAACAACAACAACAATAATCTTTTTACCTTTTATGAGCAATATGACCTAGTCAATTTCATAACGATTTTCAACTTAATTTTCTCAGAGTTGGACTAGTGCACATGAAAAATATGAACTCAAGAGACTCATCTCTAAAAAAAAATAAACAAAACAAATTGTCTTTCAACATATAGATTACACATCAAGAATATTTTCATCAAATAATCATGTGTCCCCAATTTGCATTCAAAAACAATTAATTCAAGAAAAATAATTATCACTCATGCATTGACAAGAAAAACATAATCATCACTTTCTCATGAAAGAAAAATAACATAAATCCTAAACTACAAGATATGGTCCAATGAAAAAGATAAACATCAAAGCATAGTCCATGACCATAAAACATCTTTAGGACTTAGCTAGGGGGGTTTGCACCCATAGACCTATTAGGAACAAGTCCCATAACATCAACAGGCACATAATTAACCAAGTCTTCATTTTTTATCAACGTAGTCTTTATATTTAACTTCTGAAAAGACTTTTCAATTTCAACCTTTTTCTTATTTGAGTAATTTTTAGCATGAAAATTTTTGGGTTGATTCACAAAATTTTGCTTTCTAGCATGAACCCTATTCTTAGCATAAGAACCGTAAGTATGAAATTCAGAAAAAGATTCTTTTTTCTTCTTATAGCAATAATATTGGCTATGTCCATTCCTACCACAGTAAGTGCAATGCAAAATAGAAGGCACATAAGATATATTAACATATGATGGATCAATAACCTTAGATTTATTTTTAGGCACATTCAAGTTAGTGGGTTTCACAAAACATTTTTACCCTTACTACTAGATAAAGCCTCATTAAAACCTAAGCCAGTTTTGTCATTCACATTCTTACCAACATTAATCATCTCATCAAGTTTAATCTGCCCAGAATTAAATCCAATCAATTTCTCTTGTGACTTTTTCAATTCAATTTCAAGAAATTCCAATTTAGAAACAAGAAATTCTTTTGCAGAATTAACTTAACTTACCTTACCTTCTAGGAATCTTACCTTTCTTTGAAGATCTTCAATCTCCTTCTTTTTCCGTTCACTTTCCTTTTTCAGAGCATCTCTTTACTTCTCAACTTCTTTCAATTCTCCACCTTACTTATTGAAGCCTTTCTTCGTTTGAACATATGTAACATACAATTCATTGATGGCTTTACCATAATTCTCCTTTGTTGCTTCCATGTAAAATTTTTCATCATTAGGTTTTGCTATGTCCTTAAAATCCGAGTCATCTGTGTCAGACAAAGAAAATCATTTAGAAACATCATTATTCACAATAGCAAAAAAAACAAAAGGATTATCATTATTATTAAAAGAATCATCATCAGAAAAAGAAGCATTTTTATCCTTAGAAACTGAAAATTTCGTTGATTTACCCTTGTTTTTATCTTTGGACTCTTTCCTAGCAATAAAGCAATTTTTAGGACTTGGACAAACTGTTGATGTATGACCTATACCACCACATGTCCAACATTTAATCTCAATTCTTTTAGACTCATCTTCTCTCCTTTTATCTTGTCTCCCACTTCCTCTAGATAAAGACTCTTTATTCCTTGACTCTCCCCCTTTCTTAAATGCATTCATTTTTTCAGACTTGATCAAATTTATGAACTTCTTAGTGATGAGAGTAATTTCATCATCAGACTCACTATCATACCTAACCTCGGACTTAGAAGACTCAGACTTTGAAGCTTTTAGGGCTAAGTCTTTAGGTTTTTGGAACTTCCATAGTACTTCACCTCATAGTTCTTAATATGACCTACAACCTCATCAACTTACATGGCAATGATGTTTTGAGTTGCTTGCAATGTTTCAACTTTGATTCTGAACCTTTCAAGCAAAAACCTAAGAATTTTCTTGTTAATCTTCTTATGTGTCACTTTCTTTCCTAGGTTTCGAAGGCCAGACATAATATGGTTAAGTTTCATGTAAAACTCAGAAAAGGTTTCATCTTCTTCCATTTTAAGATTTTCAAATTGAAACACAAGCATCTCATTCTTTGAAGATTTGACTTCATCTGTACCTTCATGGGTAAGTTGAAGTATATCCCATGTCTCTTTTATAATTGTATAATGAGCAATACGAGCTAACTCGGATTGGACAACAGATTTCAATAAAGAAAAGAAAGCTTTGGTGTTTCCTTCTTGAGCATTATTCTCAGCTTGAGTCCACTCAGACTCTTCCTTTTCAATGGTAACACCATCCTTTGTGACTATAGGTTTTTTATAACCTTTTTCAATTGCAGCCCAAACATATTAATTGAATAGATCCACCTTCCTTAAGAACGCAATCCATATCAATTTTGAAAACAAAAATAGAGATTTTTTTTTATTAAAAAAAATTCCACAAAGAACAACTCAATGTATAGAGGATGACTCTGATACCACTTTTAAAGAGTTTGTGCGTAGCGGAATGGTTATGGAATATAATATGAATAATTAACCTAGAAAGATGGTGAATAGATTTAACTTACTCCTTTATCCAATTTTTACTTATTTTAATTTTACCAAAATAAAACTAAAATCAAACCACAAAACAAAAATAAAGTGCAAGTAAAGTAAAGAGTGTTTGAGAGATGACACCAGGGTTTTTAGCGAGGAAACCCCAATTGGTATAATAGACCAATTGTAACAGGAAAAACCTCGTTGGACTATGTAGTCCTGAAATAAACGATCCACTATGTTTGAAGCAAAGTATACCGAACTTTGACTCAGTCTCACACCCTTCATTCTACCAAAAACCAATCGCTGACAATCCCTGGCCTTGCGACTCCCCATTCCAACAGCTCTCGGTCTCAGACTTACTCTTGATCTTTATAGAAGAGTTGTAGGTTGATCAAACAACACTCCACGAATGCTTTGATCCCTTCAAAATGTGATCGTTTCATCCCTTTTCTTTTAGATCTGAATTTGATGAAGAACAAATGAATTCTGCTTTTCCAAAATTTCTAAATTAATTATGCTCCAATTCTGATAAGATAGAGAACAACACTACTAAATCACTCTTGTGCTTATATGTGTGCTCTCAAAAATAAAATCAGAAAAATTAGATTGATTTTCTGAATAAAAATATCCCTCAAAGATGGCTCTCTAATAGATCTGAATTTTGTATGCAAAAAGCCGTTTTTAAACCAAGATGACTATCATGGTTTATATAGAGTTTAGAATGTCCTAATCCCTCTAAAAATATGAAAAATTTCGTGCATATGACTTGGTACAGTTCTAAACCAACTAGGAAATAAATCTAAAATAGGAAACTAAAGTTGGACTGTGAACAGGACTTCTTGAGCCGGTTCAATGGGGCTGAACCAGTTCAAGATAGGTAGAACTTAATTTCGAACCTAACCTTGAATCCTTGAAACGGTTCAATTGGGCTGAACTGGTTCAAGTCTAGTAGACTTTATTTTCTGGTTCACTCAACCTGAAAACACTGTATTTGGCAAATTTGAAATAAATACCAAGTATAGAATGAGTCCTAAACTTTTTAGATTCCTTCTTAAAGTGTTGTTCTTATCTTTCTTGAATGATCTCAGTTATGGTAACTTTGAACACTTTCCAATTCCGCAGTCGCTATCGATCCCGATATAGTAACTTGAAATTACAACTCCACTAGGACTTATTTTGACACCGAAAGTTGCCAATTACTGTGACGACCCTGGGTTTTTCAACCCAATGTGTCCTATGATGACCCAATACGGATCCAAAATGCGGAAGCAAAAGATAGAACAATGGTCTATAGAGATACAACACTCCTCTAAGACACCAATGTGACCCTCAATGAGGTCACAAAACCCAAAGGAAGTAAATGCGGAAACAACGTTTCAAAAATGGATAAGAATGAACCTAGGGGAAAAATTGTCATTCCACACTAAAATGGGTACCACCGTGCACACCATTGGAAAGACAATGAAAAATCAACAAGAATAGACTCAATAATCGCATGATTCGGAGTCCAGACGACAAAAATATAAAGTTTTGAAGTCGAAGGAAGGGAAACCCTATCCCGGTTCGAACCAAAAACAGACACTACCTTACTAAAACTTGAATAACTTGAGCCACAAGAAGAATCTGAGGCTCTAATTAGAACCATTGGAAAGCTTATTTTGACGTGATCAATTTAGACTCAAGAACGGACCAATTCAGAGTTAAAACGAAGAAAATATGATGATTTGAAGTCGGAGGTGCAGTGCTGAACCAAGATACACATACACCCATGAACAGTACCTCGAGCGCTCAAACAAGGGCTTCAAGCACTTGAAAATAGCGCCGAGAGTTCTGTCCAAAGTTAGAGCGCTCGAACCCCCTTTAGAGCGCTCGAACTGCTAAAAGCTTAGCAGAAATCTGAGTTTGAAATGTGATTTTGAGGACTTTCTGGGCCTTTTGGAAAAAAACACAAAGAAGAAACTACCCTCAAAATCATGTTTTCTAGCCAACCATGCCAAAACAAAACTTTATTTTTCATTTGAAAACCCCAAAATGCCCTTAGATCAGATTAGGCTCAAAACGGCGAAAATGCAACTTTGCACCAAGTATGCATTTGACCCCAAATGCATTTCTAGGCTGAAACGAATATGCACGCAAGTGATTTTGAGCGCGCAGGAATGATCCGCTACTCCCAAAAATGGTCGAGTTAAAATCTGACCCCCCAACGGCCAAAAACGCGAAAATGAATTTGAAATGGATATTTTGAAAACCAAAATTAACAAATGATTGGAAATTACCGTTTGGCCCTTGGCCACACTTCATGCATGATTAACGAGATCCTACGAAAGAATTAAAACGGAATTCCCACACCCGATGCAAACATAGTGAGACAATAACTTAACATTTTTCAATATTTTCATAATATTTCATGAAGTCAAAACTACATAGAATACAAATACATGTCATTGGCCTCCGGCCTCATCTCATACTTGTCATTGGCCTCCGGCCTCATCTCATACATGTCAAATACATTGTAAGGAGTGCACTCATGTACACATTACATATATGGAATCAAATATACAAATTTTGTCAAATAAGACTACAATTGGCATTCCGAGCCAACCTTCACAAAAATGGAAGCCTTCAAGTCCACAAGTCATCCAAGCATAATGGGAGTCTCAACTTTAAATCCTGTACTTGAAATACGCCCCAATATCGTAGGGGTGAGTAACATAAAGCTACTCGTAGAAAATGAGCATACATCGACCTACGTTTTACAAGTTTGCATGATTTAATTATTGTGGTTCATTCCACCTAACGTCTATGTCAAAGGTGAGACTCAAGGAGCATTCTAGCTACCTAAGATCATTTCTATCATCAATCACCCCATTCATGCAATTTTAGCAACATAGGGTCATGCTTACACAAGGCAACAACATAGGAGCATGCTTACACAAAGCAACAACATATAGACTCTCAAGGTAATCAACTTGAAGTCTAAAATGCAACATCAACTAAATATAACAATTTAGCATAATTAGAATATCTAATACCACACATCAAGACATAGGTTCTCTAGGTTATCAATTAGAAATCTAAAAATGTGTAATCAACTAAATATAGCAATTTAGTGTGGATGTACTTAACAACATCAAAATGATTCACAAAAATCATAAAACATAGATGTACTTAACAACATCAGAATGATTCATTAAAATCATAAACATGGATGTACTTAACAACATCAAAATCCCCAATAACCAAAACCACAAGTTACAATATAAACATAATTGTTAACTTGGAATTGAATGCGAAAACAAATAGTAGAAGACTTGGACATCTAAGCTCGGAATTCTGCCGAGACCTCAGTGGTTTTTCCGGGCACTAACCCGCAGGGAAGACCACCTTAAGTGCGCACTATCTCAATGACTTAGAGGACTCACGTCCCCGTACTAGAGCCAAACCCTAGCCATCTCAACTCAACAATGTTCCAAGATTCCAAAATTAAACCATATAAGTTCACAACTTATACATAACTTATATAATGCATGAAAACACCTTCCATGCACAAGTAGGTTGAAACCACACAATCCATGCCTTAGAGTTTCAATTCTAAAATGACATACATAATGTCAATTACAAAGTGTGCAATTCACTACACAGGGCATCAATATATTCCATAAAGAAAACATGTTCTCATGAATATAAATATAACAACAAAGTTGTTCAATGCTCAAAACACAACAAAGTGAATACATAACAAGTTCAAGTCCATGATTTGAATATAGAAACAACTTCTAAAATACCAATAGACCCATGGAGCCATTAGATAGAATTTAATTAAAAATGATAATCAAATTCTCTAGATTTCAAATCAAATTCGAATAACATCAGATTAATATATGTTAAACAACATAGCATGCTCATTACATATATCAAATCAAAAGTATCAAATGAGCAAGATAGTATCACATAGAATTTAATTAATTTAAATTAATCAAATCTCTAGATTTTAAAAGTTATTCAAATGATTCCAAATTAATAAATATCAAGCACCAACTCATGGTCATACCATATCTCAAGTCCAAAGTGGGATACAAGCAAAACACAATTTACTAGAATTTAAATCAAATTAAATTCTTTAAATCTCTAGATTTAAAAACTCATTTAAATCATCCCAATTTAATATACAAAAAAGATCAAGTCATGGCCATGCCATATATCTAGTCCAAAATGAGTTATAAGCAACTACCATTAATCATAATTTCTCAAATTAATACAATAAATGCATACAAGTTGTATAAGCATCAAAAACATGCAAGATAACAAACATATAACCCTATAACATCCCCTCACTAGAGAAGTGTCTCTCTAGAATCCAAGGCAAAATCAACACAAAATGGCAAACCCTTCTAGGGTTATGAAGAGGAAGATAAGGGGAGCAAAATGTATTCCCAAGTTCAAGCTTGGAAATCAATGGAAGGTTCTCAAAATCATGGTCAAAGCTTAAGGCTTTAGGCTCTATCCATGGAGGCTAGGATTTTCTTTACAAGAGAGGGAGGAAATGAAAATTGATGAAGATGAAATGTGAGTGGAGGGGACAGAGATCCTCCACTCACTATGTGCTCTTACACTACCTCACACACACACACTAATGCAAGATCAAATTATGAGCCTATACTTGTCACAAATCCAAGGCTCCATGCTAGGCTAAATCTCAAGCCTACACTTGTCAACCATCCAAGCCAACAGGTGCACCAATCCTTGGCCAACAAGTGGTTAAATCTCCACCCTTCACATGTCCTCA